CAGAAAAATGAATATTGCCTTGAACTTCCTGCTTCCTGTACCATTACATGCCAGTACTATAAAAGGGTAAAGCCTGAATTTAGAAAATAAATAAGGAAAACAAACCTTACGAACAGTTTCTTGAAGATTAATGTTCCAACAATCCACCATTCCTGAGCTGTGCGTCCAGAAACTGATACTCCCATGTTAAGAGTTAGAGACTAGATTATTGCCACTGAGCAATAAAGGCCTGCCCAAATATCTCAGATGCCTGCTATTAAAAACAAACAGCAAAACAAAACAAGTGCTCACAAAACAAAAATCTGCTCTGTAGCGATAAAACTTTTCCATCCCTTCTTGACCAGCATCTTCCCTAAAACAGGGCAGTGCACTGGATGCAAAAAGGCGCTTCTGCTATTAGCAGTGGTCTCAGCTGTGGAGGGAAGAGGCCTGGCTGCTGTTGTGCATCCTGCGGCCTGTCTCACTGATAAAAGGGTGAGGAACGGAACCACTGATGACTGTGCTTTCCTCCCCAGGCACTGAGTGGAACAGCAGCACCCCAGGCACAGCCTCGCCAAGTCTCTTCCAAGGAAATCACAGACGTACTCCCTCGGAGGCAGACCGCTGGTTGGAAGAGGTCTCCAAGACTGTCCGTGCCCAGCAGCAGCCAGCCCCTGCCGCACAGCCGCCACTGCAGCCCCCTCCGGCCGCTTCCCAGGCAGCAGCCGCCTACCCTGTGAGCACCTTCATTGCGCCTCAGCCCGTGCCGGTTGGCGTGGTGCCGCCCATGCAGCCACCCTTTATTCCAGCTCAGCCCTACGCCGTAGCAAACGGGATGACGTACGCGGCAGCCCCGAGCGTACCTGTGGTGGGAATCACACCTTCCCAGATGGTAGCCAACGTCTTTGGCACGGCGAGCCACGCTCCGGCTGCCCATCCGCACCAGTCGCCCAGCCTCGTCAAACAGCAGACGTTCCCTCAGTACGAGGCCGGCAGCGCTACGGCCAGCCCTTTCTTCAACCCGCCTGCGCAGCACAACGGCTCTGCGGCTTTCAATGGCGTTGACGGTGGCAAATGGGCTGCAGAGGACAAGCACCCCCAGCCTCCCGCGGCCGCCCCGCAGGTAGACCCGTTCGAAGCACAGTGGGCAGCACTGGAGAGCAAGGCAAAGCAGCGCACGAATCCCTCCCCGACCAACCCGTTCTCGAGTGATTTACAGAAGACATTTGAGATTGAACTTTAAGCGGCCCTGTAGATAAAGGGAGCAGAGGGGACTGTTTCTCATCTGTTTGCTTTGATAATCCCAAAGGTCCCTTCAAATGAAAAATGGGTTAGAAAGAGGGAGCAATGATGGGGAGGATATAAACGTATGCGGAATTTCATGTGCAGTTCTCAAAATAAACCCTGGAGCCACCTCGGTCTGCATTCCCTCTTCACTTGGAAAGCTGGAAGTTACACAGCAGAGCTGGGCGCCCGGTCCTGCAGAAGCATCACGTATCTCAGAAAGGATGGCAGACCTCAGACCTGCGACCTTCCAAGGCCCCGTGAGTCCTGGACGATCCCCCCCAGGGAAAAAGCAGAGTTGGGGTGGGGGAAGTAAGGAGGGAGGTTGTCACCTGTTTAGCAGAAGCTGGCTCTGTGGAAAAAGTTGAGCTTCCATTTTGAGTAACAAAGTGAATATTATATGTAAAGACTAAAGTAAAGCCAAAATCTTTATTTTTATGCATTTAGAATATTTTAAATAGTGGATATTAAAAGATGTATGAGTTGTAAGTAATCTTGCCAAAGGTTTAAAAAAAAAAAAAAGGGGGGGGGTGAATGTAAGAAATTGTACATAAGATTGATTTATCTCCAATTCTTATTGTAAGTAACGTTGGGGGGTGGAAAAGGGGCTCTAGCTTGTTCTTGTATCTGTTCATTGTAAGTAGCATATTGCAACAACAATCACAACCAATAAGTCATTATATTGTAGTTTTAAATAATGAAAATTAAAGAACAGTATTGTCATGGTCTGAAAACCATGGGGAAAATTAACTGTTTTTTTATTGGAATCAAGCTACATATTATATATAGTACATTTTTTTTTCTTCCATGTATTGCTGCAGTTTTCTTGTCTTAATCTATTGGTTCTAACACTACTGTGACAAACTTACTGTAACCATATCTAACATCCTGGGGCTGCCTAGGAACCCATTTTTTGTTTGTCTGTCAATAGATCTTAGAGGTTTTTTTAACTTTTGTTTTTATTTTTTCCACGGATTTGTGAAACCTTGTGGTAAGGCTGCAGCTGGTCCAGGTTCTGCCTCTGGTGACTTGTGAAATCCATCTCATTTTAACTTTACTTTTAAACTTTGGCCTTACAAGCAAATGTAAGTTATATATATTTGTACTGATGATTTATAATCTGCTTTAACAGAAATAAATGTTGGTGGTAGAAGCACCGTCTGTGAAAGCTTTATTTCCCCTCTCCCCATTTGATTTTCAGGATTTGCCCTTCTGGCTCATGATATTTCAACACTTCTCATTTTGTACCCCACATTATGTTACCTTGAACTTTAAGACTGAACTTGCAAATATCCATTTGACCTATAGCTGTTTAAAAGCTCTGCAAAGGAGGGTTTTATGGAACATATTGGTTTCCGGGTTTGCAACACTGGATTTTCTAATATTGAACACTTACAAAGACGAAAACACAAACATTGAGAAACAGGTGAAAGGAATACTCACTTGGGCTTTCTTTTCCTTTGCTATTAAAAGGAGGATCCTAAGGGCTGCCCAGGATGACACCATATTTTCACTCCTTTCTGTTCTCCCAGGAAGCTGATACCCATCCTATCAGTGTGGTTGGTTTTTACTGCGTGCTTACGTGCATGGTGTTAGATATACTGAAAAATACCAAGTCAGACTTTGTAACCTGAAAGGAGAGAAATGCTGCCTTGCATCAGCCCTAGCATTTGAGCTTGCCAGCAGTTGCCATTTCCAGGCAAGTACAGAGGTGGGCTAGAAAATGGGGGCTGTTTTCTTTACTGGTTCTTTCTTACCTTAAGCATACCTGTGTGGAGTACAGCATCAGCAGCAATCCCCAGTACCCTATGGTATTGGAGTTGGTACCTGTGCTTATTTGACTTTCAGAAAGCTAGCAAATAGTCACATATGCTTAGAGATCTAATGTTGGTTGGGTCTGTGGTTTTTGTGGGTTTTTTTTCTCCTTTCTCCTACTAGTTCCTTGGTCTGTCAGAGCTGTGCCCAGAGATCAGATGGAAATAGCTACACCCTTCCTCTGCCTGGAAGATAAGGGTAAAGGGGATAGAATGACCTTCCTATGATCCTTTGTTTAGAGAAGAAAACCACTATCTTGATTCTCAAATAATATAAACATTTGATTAGGAGGTTAAGTGATACTACACAGAAGAAAATTCTCTGCTTGCCAAATACGAAAATGCAAACACACTGCTTTAGTTAACTAACTGTTAGAGCCATGGCATGTATTTGAAGCAACACACTGCCTTCAGATCCCATCCTTATTACCATGGTTACACATCTGAAAGGAGGTCAAGTAATAAATGAGAGAAAGAAAAAAAAAAAAGAACGTTCCTTCAGTGTTAAAAGTCCGGTCTGTCAGAACACAGATGCCCACTACAGCTCTAACCAGGTTGGAGACAGAGCTCCCTGACCACACTGTGTCTAATCATACGGCCTAAATGAAAGCTGACTGCACTATTAGAAAACAGGGCCCCTGAAACAAAGAAAGGGATGGTATTACAGAAATGGCAGCTCATTCTGGGAGAAAGGCATCTGATACAGGCACCATCCACTTGGAACCACCTTCCTGGGGGGGGCTCACAGCCCCTTGCTGCCCTCTGTGCCTGCCACACAGGACTGAAATGTACACAGCCTCTCATCAGTCCATGGTCTCAAAAAGCAGAGTCATTCCATATGGTTAAAAAAAAAAAAAAAGAAAAGAAAAAAAAGCTTTTTAACTGTCTGTAGCCTCTTGCTCCTTTACTGGACTGCTTTTAGACTGTTCAGTTTGTTCAGATCTTAAAGCATTGTGTGCAGTACTGAACCCACACCTGTGCTGAAGAGAGGGCAATCATTAGGTTGGTAATTCTTATTTTTAGATGCAGCTGAACTGATTTACTGGATTTAGAGTTCAGACGAGCTTTAGGCTGCCAAGCCTGGGGATTTACACCCACATATTACTGCTGCCCTGAGTGCCAGTTCTGGACTGAAGGAGAGGAGAGTGGTGTGATCACAGTCCAGAATTAGCTTCCTTCCATAGAAGCCTTAAATTAGAGAAGCAGAACTAGGAAAAAAAATCAAAACACAACCTAAAAGCAACACACTAAAAAACACAAAGCTGTCGCAAAAAACAGCCCTTACTACCCACCTGCAAACATCAACATCAGCACTACACATCACTGTACCAGCAGAGAAGTATAGCTACATCCATACGTCCAATAAATGGTGCCAATTATAACCACAACCCACCCAAGACTCAGAAGGTAGTGCAGAATGAGGCTGCTTCTAGGGCTAGTGCTATGGAGAAAGAATATTGAGACTGTAGAAAAGAATGGTTTTGCTTGGAAGGTCTAAGTCTGCTTTGAGTTACTGAAGGTGTGCCTTTGCTGGGTCAACAAACCATCCTATACTTACCATCTTACACACACACACACACACACACACACACTTTGTTGGCACATAACAGCAAGAAGGACAGGAGGGATGCTTTTTAGCTCTAACTGCTTTGCCTCTGTATCTGGAAATCCCTATTTGTTGGCACATAACAGCAAGAATCAGCCCTGGCCACTTGCAGACCCAAGTGTTTCTGGAGCTTACTGACAACAGCAGATCATTGGGAAATTTATTCTAGCAAGACAAGTATCCCTACACCTGTTTACGTGTTTATATTACTCTCCTCTCCAAGCTGATACCCAGCACAGTGCTAGCAAAAGCCCATACTTGCATTAAATTCAACAGCACGATTCTGGTTCTGGAAAAACCAAACTAACTTCATAATATTTCTCAGAGATACTGATGTTTAATCTGCATCATCTTAGAACATACTACAGTGTTGTTATGTTAATGATCCCTACCATTCAGAAAAGGCTAAGTACATTTTTCCATTTTGTCCAAAGCTTTCTGTGGAGCATTGCTTTCTGCATTTCAATCTAGAGCTGAATACATTTAAGTGGAAACCAAACTGACCCAAAGATAAATTCTATTTAGGAGCGCTGTAATAAAACAGCTACAGTACGTAGCTGCAGTAGGTGACATCACAGCTGCATCTCCTGAGCTGGCAATCTTACAGCACCTCAGTGCTAATTTTACATGCACCAAGCTGTTTGTCATGGTCAGATTCCTTTGCTCCTCAGCATTATAAATGTTCCTCTGTCATTAGTCCTTCTGTTAAGACGGCTCAGGCCCATCTTAAGACACTTCAGCCTATGGTGCTTTTTTGAGCTATTCTCTTTTCCTTATACGAAGAATCTTTCATTCTGGTTATTTGCCCTCTCTAAAGTCATTTGGAGAGAGTATTCCCAGTGCTACCTCCTCCTGTGAAAAGCAGCAACTACCATTATGTGGAGAGATGGATGAGCTATTGCAAGGCATACAAGGAAGACATTGCAAGGAGTCAGAAGAAAGAAGTTTGCAATAAACCTGAGGATGGTGGTTCTCCCACCTTTTGGCAATTACACCCTACACCATTAAATCTGCCCTCTTGAGCTGCCAGAACAGTTTCATACAGTAGAAGATCAGAGTTCAAAATTCTTGTCTTGTCACCTGCTGTTCCACACGGCCTTGGTGGTGTCTGTCACCCACTGCGATGAGGAGGGCTGTCGTGCGGCTGGTAGCGAGAGCAGCTGGCACAGCAGAAGCTGGCATAGTACTCGTTACTGCAGAGCTGGGCCTGCACGATCAGCCCACAGTTGGCGAGGTGCGGCTGGTCCACACATTCTCTGCTCGGGTCCACAACGTGATTCACAGTTGCTGCAGCCAAGTAAAAGGTAAAGCCAGCTGAAAACACAGCTGGGGCTTGCCTCCAGGTTTATCTTCCCCTCCCCAAAACCACAGCAGGTTCCCATTTTCTCCATCCTTCCAGTTCTAAGGGGGATTGTTTAATTACAGTCTAAATAAAGGACCAGAGAGAGAAACTGACAACTCTGGTTAGATAAAGAAAGAGAAAGCAGTTTCTGGGACTGATTCCCAGTGCCTTGGTGGGGGGCCGTTTCCACCACCCTGCTCTCACACCCACACAGAGGCCCCTGCTGCTCCCCAAAGCCCGGGGCTGGTGGTGGATGGGTGCATGATGGGCAGCCTTCTAGTAATGGCCAAGAGGCAGCAGCTCTGTGCCAGGAGAAGTGGGGAGGACAAGTTGTACTCACTGCTGGGCCTGCTCCTCAACACTTTCACCTCTGTGCTGGCACTGACAGAGTTGCTGCTGCTGTAGGCGCTGCATGTGTAGGATCCCTCATCAGCCAACTGAACATTGCTTATGGTCAGGCTTCCATCCTGGGACAGGTGGACGCGGCGGCCATCTGCCCTCACTGGGACTCCATTTCTGTAATGAGAAGTGTTTTGTACCACTGTTCCCACTCCTGGTAACTGAAGGAGCTCTTTGTACTCTTTGGAATTGATGCTCTGTGAAAGGGGTAAATTAGTACAAATTCAGCACAAAGGAAGAAGTCTTCTTTTGCCATAACCTGGCTCTACAATTATGTAGGAATATGAGCCTGAGCAAGTCTACATTCATTAGTCCACTGCCACCGTGGGAGGTAGCTAGCTGTGTGCTCTGTATATGGTCTTTGTCCTTTCCAATATGACACATTTTTGAGGTTTGAGGAACTAGAAGAAAAGCCACAGTGACTTTCCCTCTCTCCGGGTTGTGGTCTGGCAGTCTTGTTCGGCTGGCATTAGTAGCTTATGCACACTGCCTCATGAACATATGGGGTAGTGAGCAATGCAACCTTTTTCCCTTAAAAGCCTGTTTAGAAAAATGTTAAAATATCAGCAAGAACGTAACCATTCTGTTCTTCCTGGAATACTCTGTGCATGGCCAGAAAACTGCCTGAATTATGAATTTCTAGTTACCAAGGAAAGTAAACTTTGTTCACTGAAAAGAGTTTCATTCATAGCCTGATACTTCAATCATTTTGTTGACTCAAATACCAAACTTAATTATGGAAGAATAGCTCTCTTTGTGAGATGGCCCGCTTCAGTCCAACCCCTTGGATCAGAGGGATTGAAACAATTGCCAATCCATGTCTATGGATCCTTTGCAAGAAAGCTCCAAAATTGAACTGATTATTTTCAAATGGAAAAAAAAAAAAACCCACACCAAATCCACTACATACTTAGACAAATTTGGTTTAACTATTAAAATATCATCAGAAGAAGACAACTTCTCTCTTACTGTTACCAAAACACTGTGAATTGTCATTCATTCCCATCTGGCAATAAAGGGAGAGAATTGCCACAGCACGAAGCTGAGAGAATAGATGCTGTTATTGTAGAGGCTAAAATGTTTGCTAGGTTTAGTCACAGAGAGTTTTCTAGAGACCAATTATAAGTCATCCTCCAGTTACTCACCTTGATTTTTGGTATTTTATTGTCATTTGCTTGCTAGCACGGAGCTCCTCTGAGCTCCATGAAGTCTTACCTTAAAGTTTGCCTCTACTCATTTGTCTGAAATGCAAACTCAGTGACCACTGCCCACAGAGATTTTGCCAAAGATTTTTAGGTTAACCATTAGGTGGATTAGGAAAGGTGAGATGATGCCATTGGGAGCGAACCACAGCTCTCTCCCTTGCCTAGCAGGCATCCTGCATTATGATTTGGAGGATAAGTGATGAGGTTCAAGAAGAGACAAGAAAGAAGTTTCACCTTGCTTTTGCTCACCTTGACCACCTTATATTCACATTGTTGCCAGTCACTGTACAATGAAGTTGAGCAGTTTCTCCTTCAGATACCTTAATGCTCGGCAGAAGACCAGTAATCCTCAGCCCTCCTAAACCAGAAGGTGAACAGTTACTAGCAAGAATACAATGCTACGCTGCCCCAGGTAGCAGAAGCTTCTAGGCCTTGAACCAGCATGTTTGGAACTAGCTGTAGCTATTGCTACGGGGAATGTCATATATCCTAAGGGCTTTAGCCCAAGCCAGGGCAAGAAATGGAGATTTCAAAGAGTATTTTTCCTCCAATTAGACAAAAGTACATCATACGCAAAGAAGAACTGCCTCTTTATTGCCTCCTGCTACTACCTTACCTGTTCCATGTCAGAAATGAAGCCCAAGAGACACTCTCATACTAGCAGTCCCACCTCAGCTATCTAGAGCACCATGACCTACTGATACATGAGAATACCGCTGGGAAAACCCACTCACTCTTCCCTTACCCACAAGCTGCCTGTTAAACATTAGGTATGAAGTTAAGAGGCACGGCCAGAGGAGACACCCACTCTGCCCAGCCCTTCCTGTTTCACACTTGTGTGCACAGACACACAACACAGCCACGCGCCTGGTACCTAGAGGTCGGAGCAGGACCTGGCGCTGGTCCTGGTCACGTCCATTCGAGGCGATGCAGGTAAAGAAGCCGGCGTCCTCAGAGCTAACCCGGCTGATCACCAGGGCCCCGTCTGACTGCTGTCTGTGTCTGATGAACAAAACCACAAATCCCCTCAGCTTGTGTTTGAGCCATGATATGATTCCAGCCACCAGAAATGAATCTGAGCCTTACACACAACTTTGCAGTAACACTAAGCAAAGGTATAGCAGCAGCTCAGTTCAATTCGTGATACAGCCTCTGGCCTGTAGACTCTGTATCACAGCTCTTCATCTGAGAGCTTGAAGTCCAGGCTCTGACCTGTGACTAGAGCAGTAGGACAGCATTGTCTGGCCCTGACAAATGAAACTGCCCAGCACAGAGCAGAAAAGTCCCTGTCTGCACTGGCCAGCAACAATGACCCCTCAGAATGGGGCTCTCCTCACCACAGCCTGCTGCAGGAATAGTAAAGCCAGCCATGCTCACCTGGGAGGGGAGAGGGGCTGCCCATCTTTCTGCCACTCAATGGTGAGAGCTGGAGATGCTTCCACTGTGCAGGGCAGTCTGACTCTCTCCCCAACTTTGGCCTCCACTACTGAGGGCTCGCTCTTGTCCATTCTCAACCTGCAAAGTCCACAAGCACAACAATGCAGCAACATCCTTGTTCAGTATCTGGCCTTCAGCACAAGGCCTTCTTAATCACAAGCCTTGTTTTTTGCCTCGAATGGGAAAGGGCGGTCTCCGTGCTCCCGTTAGAATTTGCCATTAACAACATTCACTCTCCTCAGAAAAAAAGCAGCCTCTATCAAAGCCTGCTACAGATCAGCACAGCGTGGTGCTGCACTCCTGCCAGACAACTTAACCCTTCAGAGACAGCAACTCAGAGCACCTCTGTTACTCGTTAACACCCCTCTGGCTAAAACCGTAAGGAAGTGTTAGCAACATAAATACACAGCAAATGGCCTGGGCACCAAGTAAAGCTTCTCTCAAGGTGCAGACAGCAAATACTTTTTTAGGGTGTGAAGAGTCCACTGCAATCACCAGCCAGACTGCATGCAAGGGCTGCACACTGCAGAAAGGCTGGGCATGGGCTCTAACATCATCCATCCTCTTGTGCTCTTTGCTTTCTTCTGACTACAGATAAACACCATTTCAGAAGGGAACTAAACCAGGATGTTCCCAGAGTCAAAGAAAACATCATCTCTCCCAACCCCATTCTCTGACCTGAATTCTTGATCTCAAAAAACAAAACCAAAGAGCCCTAATTCAGTGCTTTTATAGTTCAGTGAAACACTTCTTTCTGCATTTAGGCAAAAGCAGCTAAGGGGGTTGCCGGGGATTCGGCAAATTGGCTGAGTTTTAGGCAGCGAACTCAAAAGAAGAGAGACATCAGATCATACTCCCGTTTAGTCTAGAGCCCCAGTGTTTTGCATTTAAAGTGAAAACAACTTTTAACCTTTTATTTCTGCAAGGCCTGGAAGAACCAGAGAAATATGCAAGAAACTACAGAGTATGCCAAGCAGTACATGAAAAGATAGCTTGGAGTCAAACTGTTTTGTTCACAAAATACTTAAAATAAACGGTCAGGGGCTAAAGTATCTGACAGGTTGTTATTTATTTTTTTATATACACATATTTATTGCCTATTTTGTAGTAATTAAGCAGTTCCCTCTTGCTTTGCTTTTTTCCAGAATGGGTTTCTCTTTCTGACTACACTAACTGGAACAGCTAAGGACAGTTCCCCCAGCATTTTTGTATTTGTCTGAACCTGGATGCTTTGTTATCAGCCTCCCTGGACATATTTGCTAAGGATATGCTTCTTTCAAGGGACCCTTGGGAGAACAGCAGACAGCTTGCAACTGGGATTTTTGCCTGCTCCTATTGTCAGCAGTTCAGCATCCCTCGCCTCCCAACCATGCCCAGAACAGCTGATCCAGGACCTTTCCAATCTTCAGTTTTTCTACATGAAGAGATGCCATATGGTTCATCAGCTGGGCATGGTGGACAAACTGTTGCTGTATGTGAACTTACCTATATGTGAATTGCTGATGCACAGAGGAACCGGCTGCCTGTACAACCTTCCCGTCTCTGGGTAGCTCTCGGTGCTGCTGATTTTCCTTGTGAAGGACCTGACCTCTCTCACCCTCTGCCAGAACAGCACTCTGGTACTCTATTCAAAATAAAATGCCATATGTGAATAAAAAGACTGTTCTTACTGTGACCTCTTGCATAGGGCTTTCTGTGAGCTTGGGAGAACTCGCTGAATTGGAGCCAAAGAGCCCTTCAGCCATCTGTTTTCTGACTGATGCAGTAAGCCTGTGCTGCCGACTAATGAGAGTCACAGACCTGCAGGCAAGCAATTTTAGACTCTTTTCTCTTCTCTGTTATTGAATATGTTGCAGTATTCCTTAGGCCACACTGCCTTCTGCCCCCCACACCATTGCTATGACATGGTACATCTCAGAGACTTAAGGCCACCAATAGTGGCTTGCTGATCCATCTTTTTTAGACTGATCTCTTGTATTTTTTCTGGATTTGCATCTTAAATATGGCATGTTTTTTGAAACAGGGAATAATTTGTTACCTAGTTGGTCTTGTTTGGTCAAAACACAAATGCATCAGCATGAACAGCTATGTAACCCAGTCATACCATACTGTGAGATTGAGGGTACAGGAAACCCCTTTTCTGAAGCCTTCTGCCTGGGACCAGGAGGCAGCTGATGGCTCTCAGAGAGGACAACATGCTTGCTACGCTGGAAACGGTACAGGTTGCAGATGGGCAATAATTCCAGGTACGAGGTGCCACTGCAGGTGGGAAGTACTTTAGGGTAAGGGCTTTATCATAACATAACATCAGAAGAAGCCCTGTTGCCTCCACACTCTTGGTTCCTGCACTGCGGAGGAGATCTGCTGCTATAACTTGCCCAAGGAACAGCACTGCTATGGGGTAAAGGCAATGCTGCCTGCACAGTATGGCAGCAGAGGACTTTTGCCCATTGTCAGCATCAATTAATGAGCAGCGCTGAGTTACCCCTTTCGTAGAAGAGGCAGTAGAAGATTTAAGATGTAAGTAGAAGATGAATTACCTATGATCTGTAACTGAATCTGCCGCCGTCTCTCTGTCCTCCCATCAGAAATGAGGCATGTGTAAGTCCCAGCATCCTCCAGCTTGACGTGGCTGATAACTAAAGAGCTGTCAGACTGGTAGATGTGCCTACAACAGGAGCGGGAATCAACTGCCTCTGCGTGGCCAAGGACAGCAGCTGGCCAAAGCAGAGTGGCCCTTCCTGCTGATGTTACATAAACCACCACCATGAACTGCCCTCCCCAGCTTAGAAAAAAAAACAAACCACCCTATTGACCACAGCAGGGTCACAGGCAGGGGAAATAACTGCAACAAAGAAAGGAGGTCAGGAACGGAGAGGAATGGGAAAACAGGGAACTGCTTTCAACAATCTTCTCCCATGAGAAGGCAAACTGCCCTTCCAGGCAGGAGCCTGAGCCCCAGCAGTCATTTGCAAACAAAAAAGCAGAACTGAGCTTTTCTTAACAACTGCAATTTTCGTAACAAAAACTGAGTCTCTGGATCCAAACTGTTGAAGGAAACAGACTTCCTATGAAAAAATAGGCTTTAAAAATAATTTTAAAAGCATTACATTAGATGGCAGTGCCAGAAACTCCAGCCAGGGGAACTCCTGACTTACTTGGCCACAGGCTTCATCCTGGACTAGTTAAGCAGTGTCTCAGGAAAAATCCTGCACAGCCAACATTCTTTTGCACAATTGCCCACAAGTCAGTTTCCACTGGTTTTGGGGCAGCACTCATTCTGACCCATACTGCTATCTGGTGTCTCAATACAGTTGTAGAGTATACCTGTTTCTGCTGTCTATAGATCAGATGGATAGCTCATTTTCAGGAGTGTTCCTAGCTTAATACACGGGCTTGTTTATTTATTAATCCTTTTTATCCCCTCCAAAGAATGTTACCAATGAGATTAGAAAGAAAGTGGACAAGCATATTTGGCACTCTGCTCAGCAAGGATAATGAACTGCTCCGTAATGAAGGGGGTCGAGCTTACCTGTCAGAGGAGACTGTCTGGCCATCCTTCATCCACTCCACCCTGGAGAAGGGGGACATGCTTGCCTTGCAGGCCAGTTGAATGTTTTGTCCCTTGACTGCTGTCACAAGAGAGAGCTTGGCTTCCTCCAGAATGGTTCTGAAAGATAAAGAGATTTCAGGGACCCCTCAGCTGCTCTTCTCTCCTTAGGATCTTCCAGTGTGACTATAAACAACCACAGTATAAAGCAGGACTAGCTGCCCATTTAGCTCTGAGCAGAGGCAGCATGTAATATAGCAAGTCTTCTGCACAGCAAAGGCTGGTCTGGATAGACTCATCACCACAAGCAAACCAAGGAGACAGCCATAGCTATGTAACTCTCTCTTCTGAGAACTAGGCTCAGCTCAGCAGATTGACAGATCCAGACACACACATATCTAGCTCTACACAACCTCAATTTTCACTGTGACACTGTCTAGATCCTGACTCAAACTGCATTTTAAAGACTTTCCCAGAATAACCCACTACTTCTCTGTGCAGCACTGAGATAAATGCTGTGAAGCCAGAGTCAGGTAAATGTACTGATCAGAATGGGCAAACCACCTACGGATTTTCATTTACAGTATGCCTCTCAAAAAAAGGCCTCAGCATCCCAGTCTTTTCATGCTTCTTCCAGTGCTGTCAGAGTGTAATGAGAGTGCAGGGAATGAGAAACCTCTTAACTCTAAGGCCTGGCTAATATGATTTACCAAAGCCAATATATAGCCAATCTGTCACAGGGTCAGCTGGGCTGGACCTACGTTTCCACTGCAGAGGAAGCTGCACTGATGCTTCACAATGAGCAGACTGAAATGACCAAAAAATAAAATAAAATCACCTGTGCTGATTCTGTGCTGGGAAGAAGTCTGCAGACACCTGGCGCCCAAAGCTCTCTGTCACAGAAACATCTGTTCCAGAAGCCTTATGCCACTGCTTGCCTTCACGTGGCAGCACCTGTTGGCCACTGCTACTCTGCTTTTGGGAGGGCCCAGGCACTGCTGTTTCCCCTGTCAAGTGCAGCTGGCTCAGGCTTTTCAATCTACTTTGCTGGGTGCCCCATTGCTGGCTCTCCATCACACCAGACTTTTGCGAAGCTTCTGGCAGCACCTACCTTCTCCAGTAGCTCTCTCCATGTCTGTTCTGCGAGGGGTTTGAAGCTCCATAGGATCTTCCTTCTTGGCCATGACTTGAAGACTCTCTTGGCAGGTGCTGCTGCTTACCCTGAGCAGCACCCATATGAAAATGAGAGCCAGTGTCCTGCCGTTGCAGGGCTCCTGTGCCAGAAGAGGGCTGGTGCTCCAAGGGACTAATCCCCACAGAGCTATGACACACTCTCATGCATTCCTCCTCTGAGGCAAAGCTGTTTTTATTGCCATGGCAGCCACCATACCAGAACCGGTTGCACTTGCCAACAACAGTCACAAAGTACCAGCGAGTGGTCCAGTTTGCACAGGGGCCATGAGCACTGGGCAGCAGGCACATGACAGGATATGCTGCCAGAAAGAACAGAACAGAAGAGTGTGTGAGGGTCATGACACAAAGGTCTGAGTGCTTCAAGCCACTTGCCTAAATGATGGGCCTTACGGGCAGCGTTGGTGGAAAGGTGAGACACCTGAGTTTTGCACCCAGCTGTTTTGAAATAGGGCAGCTGCTCTGATGTTTCCCTCCATCTTAGTTTTCCCACTAGCAGAAAGAGAACTCAGCTCAGAGACATTTCTGAGTCTAAATAGTTATGGCCTTTCCAGGAAATCCTGCAGCTAAAAGGTTGATCTTGGGTCTTCTTCCACGAGCGGCACATAGCCATCATACGCACATTTCCAGCCCACAGAGCAAGTGGATTAGACCCAGTTGTGAAGATTCATGCACTGCAGAATACTCCTGCAAATAAAGAGGAGCATGGCCAAAGGTGTCTGCGAACATCATTCTGTGCTCTGAGTCACAAATATCAGAGTCACATGCTGACAAATACTGATGCAGGGCTCTGACTGAGAGGCCCTTTGCTGAGCTGTGGCAGAGCAGAGAGGACAGGCAGACTTTTCCCTTTCCCCAGGGCAGTCTCACAGGGCTGGTGACCACGCAATCCCTTTGCTGCAGCAACAGGGGAAAGCAACGCAGCAGCAACCTGCCTGCAGAAGATACAGCTGGGAACTACAGGAGAGGAGATGCTTTTGCCCAGTGCCTCTAGCATCCTTGTAGTATAGTAAGCACTGTCCTCCTTCCCCCTCCCCCCCCAATCTCTGCTGGTTAAATGTCTCCACAGAGCCCTATACAGCAGCTCCATCCTTAGCTGTAGCTCTTATTGCACTCCTGCCCAAATGGGGTTGTCTGAAGGCAGAACATGGCTCCTGTTCCTCAGAGAAGAGCCTACTTCACATAAACCCAAATAATGAATTTGGAGAACCAGGCTATACCAGGTTGTCTTCCCAGGGTGAAACAGCTATGCACTGACAGAGATTACACACAATTCTGCTCAAACAACAAAAGAGGAAAATAAGAACTTCTGTGGTAGCTAACTTAGCCAATTAGCAGCTTTCCTACATTCCTTTTCTCTAAATTAGAGAGGTATGGATTTCAAGGATGGCCTGTTCAGTGGATTAAGAATTAGGTTGGCTCACTGCAGCCAAAGGGTTGTGATCAATGGTTCTATGTCTAGATGGAGGCCGGTCACAAGTACTTTCCTTCAGGGACTGGTACTCTTCAAGACCTTCAACAATGACACAGACGATGGCATCGAGTGCACCCTCAGCAAGTTTGCAGATGACACCAAGCTGAGCGGTGCAGACAATACAGTAGGGGGAAAGGAAGTCATCCAGAGGGACCTAGACAGGCTGGAGAAGTGAGCCAATGAGAACCTAATGAAGTCCAACGAGGCCAAGTGCAAGGTGTTGCACTTGGGCCAGGGCGATCTCAGGTATTTATACAAACTGGGGGAAGACCTCCTTGAGAGCAGCCTGGCAAAGAAGGACTTGGGGGGTCCTGGTAGACAAGAAGCTGGACATGAGCCAGCAGCGTGCACCTACAGCCTGGAAGACCAACTGTGCTATGGGCTGCATTCAAGAAGAGGTGGCCAGCAGGGAGAGGGAGGTGATTGTCCACCTCTACTCAGCTCTTGTGAGGCCCCATCCAGAGTTCTGTGTCCAGGCCTGGGGCTCTCAGTACAAGAAAGACATGGAGCTCTTGGAACAGGTCCAGAGAAGGACCACTACGATGACGAGAGGGCTGGAACACATCTCCTGTGAGGAAAGGTTGAGGAAACTGGGCTTGTTTAGCTTGGAAAAGAGAAGGCTCTGAGGGGACCTCATTGTGGCCTTCCAGTACTTGAAGGGAGCATATAAACAGGAGTGGATATGACTGTTTACATGGGTGGATAGTGACAGGACAAGGAGGAATGGTTATAATCTAAGACAGAGGAGGTTTAGCTTAGATATTAGGAGGAAGTTTTTCCACACGATGGTGATGCTCTGCAACAGATTGCCCAAGGAGGTTGTGGATGCCCCATCCCTGGAGGCATTCAAGGCCAGGCTGGATGTGGATCAGGGCAGCCTGGTCTGGTGGTTGGTGACCCTGCGCATAGCAGGGGGGGGGCTGAAACTAGATGATCTTTGTGGTCCTTTTCAACCCAGGCTATTCTATGATTCCCTTTAACCTTCCCTATCCCAGCCATGAGGCAGAATTTGTTTTCAAGGAGACCATTCACTACAATTTCCAGAGGTCAGAACTTCCACATAGGAAGTTTCCAGATGGTACTGATTTCTGTGTAATTCTTCCTGTGTTTCTAACCAAACAAGTCAAAGCATCACTTACGGTAGTTGGGCCTATTGAGACATCCTTCCCCTTCAGGACCTGCAGCCGAAGCGACACTGTCAAAACAGCAGCCGTACACTGAACTGCGGCACTCGCCAGAGGGGTGCTGCTGGGATAAGGCTTGGTTTGCCTTAGAGACAGGAATTGAAAGCCAAAAGTTATCATGCATACATGAGGGCAGCAGCACATGCAAAGCACCATGTCCAAGCTGTTGAATGCAGGATGCCAGCTGCTAGAAGAATCACTGCTCATTTGTTTGCCTCCTAGAGGCTTTCATGCTGGCAAGGGCTGGGAAACTTGGCTGTCAGCCATGAAGCCAGTGCTGCACCTCCCTGCAAAACACACCTAGCCAGCCTAGGCAGTAGATTGGATTTTTCAAATGGCCCCACCAGACACCCCAAGCTATATGAGAGGAATTTCCCCCCTAAATATTTTATCCTCAATTAATTTGCAGAGATGATAAACAAGGACAATTGTTAGTGGCAATATTTTTCTGTATTTTTTTTTCTCCCAGAAATCGGATGGCAAGTTTCTAACAGACAGAAATTTCATTACTCAGGATTATTCAACCAGTTCTACACAGGATGCTTCTCTCCTTCTCAGACAATTCCCAACCACTCCCTCTGTCCCCTGCTTACAGAGGATCACAAGCAGATGCCCAAGACTGAACAGGAATGAAGTACGCCAAGGGGCCTCATGCCATACATGGAGTATTACTGGGACAGATGAAGTATAATAGAAACATATCATCTGAGTCATCGGGTCAAAATTGAATCTTCACACGTGATGGGCAGCTAAAACCCAAAGGGTTTTTGTGCTTACTGTTGGAACAGCTGCAGCAGGCTGATTTCTTCTCATATGAACATCACTGTCATGCTGTGGGCATCCCACGTTGTTTGGACCTTGGGCAGCTGATACTCCATCAGGACAGCATCCATACCTACAGGCAGAAGGCAGAAAGGCTGCAGCAATATCTGACCTGCTTGGTTCAACAGACACAGACTGTAAATTCCAGTAAGCCTCCAGGAAATGCAGTGCCTCCCTGCTCAGGCCCATCTACTCACAGCTACCTGTTTTGGTGACAGGTGTTGAAGGAACAACCTCTCCCCAAAGAGCCTGAAGCTGGAGTGTGTCCATCTGGACAGCAGCCATGTGGGGTCTGATAACAGTTCTGAGATCTGGTTCCTGCAGTGGGGTGCTGAGTGATGTTGAGCTGATGATAATTTGATGATCGTGACTGGGATTCCCAGCGAACAGGCAACAAGTTGATGCCATGGTCCTCAGTGGAATTGATGTGGTGATTCCTAGAGCTGCTGTGAACTGTGGAGCTCCCAGGGAGCAACCTTCCATCACCAGAATCTGTGGAGATAACTCCTTACAGCATGCAGGTGAGCATCTGCTATTTTATACCTGCTCAAAGCTACAAGGCAAGCTTTTCTGTATCAAGGTTTCACCTGAATATGTGCCTTCTGGCTCTTTCTTCTGAATTTGGTTGCTCTGAGCCTCTTCTGTTCATTGCCCTAACCATTCACCCTGCTGACCCATAAGAAATCATCTGTCACATTGCTTTTATCCCCTTGTAGTAGGACACATGAACCTTTTTTTCTAATCCCCTTTAGGCAGCATTTTTCTCAGCCAGCACTTATATCATGCTCATATGATATCTCATGACATATATCATACTCATGATATCATACGTCAGAACCGGGGATGTCTTTACAGCCTGCTACATGCATGAACTCACAGGTAGTTCTCTATTGGTGTAAAGAACCTATAATTTATCCCTGACTCCAAGAATTCTGGAAGTCCATGAAAAGAACAAGAGAAAGGGAGAAAAGAAGGATCCTTCTCCCTCCCATACCCTGTTTCAAGCCCACCATCACCAAACCCAAGCAAACAAAATTCTGAACCTGTGGGAGGGCTGTTTGGGTTGTAACGCGTCAGCAACGACTGTCGACTGATATCATATCCCATAGTGTCCTGCATACTGGGGACCTCTGCAAAGAGAGACATACACAAAATAAGTGCAGCTAGTCCAACTATATTCAAATAATTGCAAATGCATCAGAAAAGTAACAGGAGACTAAGGTTGACAAAAATGTGCTTCTTCTCCTGGAAAAGCTGGTGATCAGCAATTGGATTCAATTGGATTGTCAGGACAGCTACCTGCAGTGGGTAGGCAGCCAGAATTCACCATTTCAGCTATGACAAAGACTAACTACAGACAGCAAGTAAAATCTCCAAACAGTTTACAGCTGGTCCACAAGGGGATGAGAGCTGGCTACAGTTTCTAACTACTAAGTCTGTCCAGGGTGTTAGTCCTTAGCTCTGTGATTCATGATCAGTCTGCAATACAAACTGGGACAGAGTCAAGGCAAAATACTGAATTCAGAATAGAAACACCAATATTGCTCCCAAGCCCATTACATGTGTTTCAAACAGCACAGGTACTGGGACTCTGAAGATGCTGTGGTTGTAGGTGCAAAAGCACAGGATGGAGACAGGTAAGCAGGGAGCTGAGCGCACAAGCTTTTGCAGAGTCTTGGCAAGAAGCAACTTAGGAAAAGTTGGGTGTCTATCAAATCAACTCACGCTGCGGCAGGTAGCAAGGCTGCACGTTGCAGCTATCCAGGGTGGCTGGCTTCTGTGGTTGGATGGCTTTGCATATATCAGCACTGTAGAATTTGGAGTCACCATCAGCACAGATAACTTGGCGTGTCCGGATGCCTGAACTGCAGCTCTTTGAACACTTGAGTACAGAGACAAGGGAAGTGAGCAGGAACCAGAGTCAGAATGCAGAAACAACCACAGACCAAGAGTATGGAACAGCTGTGATTAGCTGCAGGCCAAGCACAGCTTCCTCCACCAAGATAAGGCAAACAACAGCCCAGCTGGATTCATCTGAACAGAGGTACTCTTAATCATTTTGCCAAATGTTGCATCCAGCCCTGAACCATTAAGCTCCAAGATATGCTTACTTTCTAACATCTAGACTTGCTGCTTTGCCAAGGACAGTGGTGTGGCAAGGAGCTGGAATAATCAGCAGGAGTGAACTGTTCCAGACTGACCTGAAGGCACCTTAGCACTACAGGGATCCACCAGTTGTTAAAGGGTCAGTTTTGAACTCTGAATTCAAAAAACAACAGGCAGCACTTTACAACAGGAAACAAATGGATAGCTTTCTTGTAAGCAGCTAACTGGATTTCCTTTCACTGGAAGCTGTGAGTGAAAAGGAAGCAACGAGCAGCAACTCTGGGCAGAGAGGGCAGTGGAGAAGATGAGAACCAACCTGTTCACAGAAAGTTTTCAGACACTGGGAGAGTATTCTTTTCTTTTATTCAGATACAAGTAGGAGCTCTCTGATACTGGAAAGCCTGAGGCCAGGAAAGATCAGATTAAGGTATGCAGCTTTCTTAGCTGTTATTAAAACTCAGCTACACCACACAAAGAATCAGATGTAACGTGTTTTAACTCAGAACAAGCTGGTCTCACTAGCATGGAAGGGAAACAAGTGTGCTTGGAAATCACATGGTAGATTGGATCTCCCCCATCTCCTCCCCCGGGTATGTTTCCCAGGCTGAAAACAGCCTGTCTCCCTCCACAAGGGAGACAAGATTAATTCAGCTAAAGACAGTCTATCTGAACAATTACAAAAACAGTTTAAATCATTTCACCAAACATGATGACCAGTCCTGAAGCCTGAAGCTCTAAGCCATATTCAGCCCATGAGCTGTTTTGCTATTCACAGTAATGGAGCAAATAAATGAGAATAAGCAGCAGGAGTGGATCATTTCAGTTTATTGGCTGCATTTTGCCACTGTCACTGAAACTATAGTCTCCCTCTCCAAGAAGGATTTATTTTTATAGCAGCTGCAAACAAAGCAGGCAACAGATTAACTGGAGCATTACTAGTGCCAGTTACAATGCAACTGTGAGCCAAGGGATTGGTAATGAAGTACATGCTTTCCAATTCAGCCAATTCCAGGCTGCACTGATTAAACCTTGTTTGCAAGGAACACAGCAATATAATCAATTATTTCCGATGCATGAAAGCATGATGCTTACCAGGCCCCAGTCTCCAACGTGCCAGCCGACTTCTTGGATGCAGTTCTCCTTAAGGCAGGGCTGGGTGGCTGGTGGCTTTGGTTCCATTAAACAAGCAAAGTCCTGAGCTTGAGAGCCCCGCTGCGTTCTGCAGGTGACAGTCCGGGTCTGGACACCTTCCCCACAGCTGGCTGAGCACTGTGGAACAGAGCACAACAGTGAAAAGGAAGCATCTAATTTACACTTGCATTTCCAGGCTGTGGTCCCCAGCAACAGGGCAGAGTACCACTTTAAGAATGTCTCAAACAAGCAACCAGCATTAAAAACCATATTCTTGGATGGGAATGAGCAGAATGGTTGTCCGTGCTGTAAAAGAGACAATATGGCATGTTGGATAGGATCTGGGAACTCACTGGATGATTTTAGCTTAGTTACGTAACTTCTCCTGCTCTCTATCAAAAAAGACAAGAAGAATGAATGACTTTGGAAAAAAATACCAGTACAACAGAATATATTCAAAACATGATGTTTGTAGATGGCAGGAGATACCTGCAAACTAATGTTCACAGAATCACACAGAATCACAGAATTGCAGGGGTTGGAAGGGACCTCCAGAGATCATCGAGTCCAACCCCCTGCCTAAGCCAGCTCAAGGTAAAGAATTCAGGGGAAGATAAAAAGACAAGGTTCTTGCATTTCTCATGTCTTTTTCCTGAAGACCTCATGCTCTACTTTATGGTGTCAAGCTGTGAGACATCATCTTCCTATGCATGTAAATGCCCTTTTGCAATCCTCTGTTAAATTCACAGTGGTTTTGTCTGGAATCTAGCTCAGTTCTCCAGGAATTGTCAAAGTCAACTACACAGGAAATTACCTGAGAGCTGTCTGAACTACTTTGAGCTTCCCAGTAGAGTGCTACTTATTTACCAGAGTGACCTTTTGTCTCCAGTAACACATAGGTGAAGTCATTTTTTTTGTAACCCCAGAATGAATCATTTAGGAATCAATTTGCAAGAACAGGTCACTTAGTGCTTTGTGCCTTTCCTAAATAGTGCTCTCATTCCACAACCCTGAATTCACCTCAGTATTCACACCCTACATCTCATGAGAGTATAAAAACAACAACAAAAAAACGTTACAGTCCTGCTTATCATGCCTCAAAGTCGCATTTCATGCTGCTGCTGCATCACTTGACAAAGAAATACCACAAGACTGTAAATCGAATGTTGCAAGAATGCAACACACTTCTTTCAAAAAAAAAATTCACTCATGTTTTAGGGACTGAGTAGATGCAATTCAATGATATTTACTATCTTTGCTTTCTATGACTTATGAACATAAGATGTCTTCTAAATGCCTGGCTGGTAGTGCTGAGTACATGTAGTTTGGAGGATAAATGCACGCTGCAGCTGTCCAGAGAAGCCTTGCACTGATACACAGCCTACAGTAAACAGCAGGTCACCAGCAGTTTAATAGCATCTTCCTTACTGACTGTTGTGATTTAGTACTGCCATTCAGGGGCTAGTAATGCTGGGCCAGCAATACGCATGGAAATAAGCAGCACAAGTGGGAACCATGAGCTCCTGTTTTACAGAGGGGAAATGTTACTGCACAAGAACAGCTGCAGCACAGCAGCTCTTAGCCTGCCCTTCACCAGGCCTGGCTCAGAAACAAACACTGGCAAGATCTGGTAGATCTGATGAAAATACAGGGGAGAGAGCATGTGGTGAAAGGAACAGGAAAAAAATTATCAAAAGGCATAGATGCTATTTGGAGAACTTTGGAGGACTGCAGGGACAGTCTGCACCTTGCCATGGACATCCACCTTGTACAGTCTCAGAGAAGGTGCCTGGCTTTTCACCCTCAAGCTCTGGCAGACCCTCCTTTAGTGAATGCCATGTGGCAGTTGCTTCTCACACAAACTCACCTCTGACCAGGGCCCTGTGCTCCAGGTTGCACACTGTCTCCTGTTGCAGGGCTGACTGCTGTGAGGCTGCTGTGCAAAGGCCATACACTCAGCGTTGTCCACAACACCCTGGGAGTTCTGACCATCAAATGCTACACAGTAAACAGAGCGAGTCTGGGTGCCTCCACCGCAGGTAGCTGAGCAGGGTCCCCACTCCCCTGTTTTCCACCTGCAGGTCACAGAATCAAGCAAACAAATAATGGCCCAACTAAATGGCACAGAAGTCAGTGCCGTGTCCGTGTTGCAGTCAGACAAGGAAAATGTCTTCTTTGCAGAACAGAGTCAGAGACAAGTTGCTATTTCACCAAGCACTGCCCACCTTGATTGGCTGTGCAAAGCATGAGTCCCACTCCAAAGGCAAATGCCCAGCTACAAAACACTTATTACTCTGGAAATGCAGAGCTTTCCCTAAGGGGAAGTTTCATTTCCATGGCTTTTGGTTTCCTAACACCTGCAAAAATATTATGCCTGGAATGGAACACTAAAGAGGAAGAAAAAATAATAATAATAAAATAATAATAATAATTAAAAACAAACAACAAAAAAACCCCAACAATCCAAGAAAAGTAGCTCACAATCCATCATGCTCCAGCCACCGTCCAAAGCAGAAGACATCACCAAACTGAGATCTCAATCTGCCTGCAAACTACGCTCAACTCTCCAGAAGCACTTACAAACTTTTAATTGACAAACCAACAGAAAAGATGGCTTACTCCTCTCATTGGCTAGATTATCTAACAGAAGCACATAGCAAAAGTAAAAAAAAAAAACTTCAAACAGATTCTGAATTTGGTTGCTGAAGCTGTCACGGAAATGTTACATCCTTGCTAGCAGAAGTGCAAACGTGCAGAAAACAGTCACAGTGGATGGTAGAATCCCTCCCTTGTCCATTCCTGTGTCTCGGTGCTACCCACACAGTTGGAAGCACAGCTTGCATGGCCTGACTTCAGGGATTTCAGACTCCAGCAGTGGAGTGGAAGCAGTTAAAAGGCACTGGTGATACAGGGGGTGTATCACGGTGATCTACTATCTCCCTCTTTCAGACACCTAAGCCCCAGCCAGAGAGTAAAGACAGTTCATGTTTTCTCCCCTACCTTTCCAGTTGCTCCCCCTGGTCCGCCCTTGTAACTAACTTTCAGCCAGCCAATTCACATTCATATCCCATCAAAAACTCCACAGCAGACTCAGCCAAGAGAAGACATGTTCATCTCCTTAAGATACTTTTTTTCTGCTATTAAAGAAGCAGATAGCCTAGAACTGAATACCATTTTCCACAGAATAAGATATTTCCTTTGGAAAGTGAACAATTACAGCAAACAGAAGCCACTTAGAGCAGTGTGGCTACTGAGCTCAAAACAAATTAATTGATCGAGCTTTTACAGAAGTTCCAGAGGGTATGAAAACAAGAGTGTTTTGCTTCCTGTGAAGAAAGCGTGCAGTTTTAGAAAGATTTCATCAACTGGATGGACTCAATTACAGATTCCGTCAACTGCAGTCAAGACATCTCTGACACTTGTTTCATGTCCTTTGTATGGAAAGATCAATCGTAACGATGGGACCATTCAGAGGCAAGTCCTATGCTATTAGCAGTTTGCTGGGAACACTTGTTTCGCTTTTATTCTATTTTACTTCTAACACCTCAGTGGACATTCTAAGTACTGTATCTGTGACAGCCTTGTGCTCACCACAGTATGTAAGCAATTTTCTGCCTGATACAGGACCCAGGCCAAAGAAAGAGCTTTTGAGGAACTTTGAGGTTTTTGCTATGGCACTCTGGAGTCCAGTCCTGGTCAATGACTCAACAGACCTAGCCCATCACATTCTTTTTTCCTGTTTTTTTATCTTGATTAACCAAACAAAAAATCTTAAAAAACACACCTCCACCACTTTAGCCTAAAACAAACAATTATCAAGCCAAAAGCTATGAAGAATCTGTCTCTTCCTCAACTCCATACCAGTCAAGTTACAAGCAGCACTCAAAACCGCCTAAGCAAAGCTGCCAGCCAGCACCCTCCACCATCATTTTCATCAGCAAGAATCAAAAGCAAAGCATGGCCCACTGCTACCACCAGTGCCAAAGGAAAGACTCCAAGTCCCCACACACTCTAGTGGGCAACTAGGTGGAAAGCAGAAGATAGCAGCTGCCTTCCCGTTGTCTCCTCAGTGTTACCTCTTCATCTGAGAGCTCCGTGCTCCACCGTGGCTCCAGGCTTGTGGCGGAGAGATGTAAGAAGTCCTTTACACACAGAACAAAGAATTTAAACAACTTAAAGCATGTAGCTATGGGCTAATACGAATTCAGAAATGTTTCCAGTTTTCCAGGTACTCCCTGGCCTACAGCAAGTCTCCACTATAACAACCAGATGCACAATGAGATATGCAGTTAAGGCTCTGGTCACAGCTCTGGATGCTTTTAAGAGCCAATTTAAGCCAATTGCTTAAATTGTAATCAAGGCTATGTAATCAAGGGACAAGGGGGAAATGGTTGATTAAATGGGTCTGAAAATAATAGAAAAGGAGAAGATTCCAGGATTCATCTATTTCAAAGAACAAGGACACTGAGAATGCAGAAATGACAAAATTAGACCATCTCAGACCTACTTCTCTTTTTTGGCAGGCTCCATTTGAAGAGAACAGAAACCACAGATTCTATTCCTTACCTTCTTTCACAGATTCTGCCTTTCCTACCTACAGGCTAGAAGACTATCTTTCACAATTATGCTAGAAAGAAAATATAACTGGTCTATGAAAATGAACATAGGACCTATCAAGACCATTTCTTGTGCACATAAGAACACTTGACATATAGTTATCATCCCCAACTTTGATTTGGGCTTTCTCTAAGAAGTGAAACATTTCCTTGGAAAGTACCAAGCACCATTTTCCTGGCTCCAAAAGCACCTCAGGAGGAAGACAGAGCTCAGAAGTGGAAAGGAAATCTTACCTTTTTGTTTGGGGACAAGCCTGATGGCCACATGTCCGGTTACTGTCTGGTCGTGGTTTGTTACTGCACATATAGTCTGGATAAATCTCATTGTCTATGGTACAAAACACCAAACGGGATTGGAAGCCTGAAGGTCAAACAAGAAAGTATACTGATCAATGTAGGGCACCCAGGAAAATGTACCAGTGTTTGAAATGCAGTGGCATTGCTAAGACAAGATTCTAAAGCAGCACTGAATCCACACCTGCAAACTTACCAACCTGGAAGAGTCAGGTGCAGCTCTTGGTCTGTCACCACGTGTATGAATGACGCCTACTCACAGTATACAAGTTCACAGGAAATAAAAAAGACAGAATAATTCTGTATAGGTGAGGGACCTTTCCCTTTTGTTTGAGTGGGTTAAGAGTCACAAGGGAGATGTCATATGCATATGTTGCTCACGAAGGAACCCTGCTTGGTGTGTGCTGTTAGACCTAGAAGGTCAGTCTTTTGAAGACTAGATGTTGTAAATCTTTACGTTTCTTACTGGTTTAGAATATCAGCTCCCACAGCCACAGTATGGCAAGAGCTACCATCAGCAAGACAAGAAGAGGCACACAGAAACTCCATAGTCAGATGGAGGTTTCTGGTTTGACTGCTGGGGCATTTTTTGGTGGTTGTTTTTTAGTTTAAAATCAATAGTTTTGTTGATGCAAACTGAACATGTGGTGACACCCCATGGTATCTGACAATATTCCTGTTCAGAGAAATGGAATCTTACAGGTGACAGTAGAGGTACAGAGGTGTGATACAACCCAGTTTTGTAGACCAAGTCAGCTTGGAAAGTGGTTTCAAGAGTTTGAAAAGGCCTGCAGAGGACATTAAGAACTGAGGTAGGACAAGATAAAACACACATCCCTATGATCCAAGATCCAAGTAACAAGTCTGAGGATTAAGACATGTAAAATTAGACAGGACAATGCAAGGAGCACAATCCTCTTGTGATTCTATGCGACTCTCTCTTGAGAAAACCTTAACCACCACCAGCAGATATCTGTGTTGTCTTCCAGCAGGAGACTGCTGAGAAGCAGCTGCAGAGGGCAGCACGCTGCGTCTTCATGGTGTGGATATAAACCTTGAACCACGTTGCCAGAGACCAGGTCCTGCCCCCTTACCTCCTCCACACTCAGAGCTGCACTCACTCCAGGAACTGTAGCTCCAGCTGTAACCTGTGGACTGTCTGTGTGTAGGCAGGTAGTATTCATATTGTACTCCTGGGTTTGGCTCCTGACTGATGAGCTATGAAAGCATGGGATAAAGTCATGAAAATAGCAGCAGCGCTTCTTCCCTTCACAGCATTTCCCACTGTGTCTGAGGGTTTGAGCTGATTTGGTCCCTCCAGTTCAAAGAAGTCTTTTTCTCTGGGCTGTGTTTTCTGCTTGCTTTCTCTGATTATCTAGGGAGCATTATTTTTCAGAAAAGGGTGTATCCATCTCTCTCATAGGCAGAAGATCTACCTGGTCTGTTACAGTAATACCCTGACATGGCCTACGGTACACTATAATATGCAGTACCCTAGAGCCTGTCCCTGCACCAAACCCATTCTGTGCAAACTCATCTGAAAGTTAGAGCTCAGAGGAATACATCAGGCCTTGCTTTGCTCCTTTTTGGGCCTTAGAACACCAGCATAACACTGTGTTTTCTGCAAGCAAAACACCATGGTCTAGATTAAGGGCCTAGAGCTTTGTAAGATTCCTGCAGGCCCAGTTATCCTTCAAGAGTATTTCCCGTCTCAACTTCACCAACGTACTCCCACTGCACTACGTGAGGACTGCTATGCAAAACAAGACAGTATCAGTGGGGGCAAGCACAGCCACTTACCTCAATGACCAAGGGCTCTGTGGTGGGACCCCTGGCATGGAGGAGCTCTGGGGCAAGATCACCTTCTGAGCCACGATCATAGTGCATAACTGTGCTAGCTATATGTAGCGTTCGGCTGAAGTCAATTGTCCAATGCCCATTCAGATAATAATCCCCTTGCACATTCTTGACAGCTGGATAAACCCACATGCCAGAGAAGAAAAGGCAATAAATTAACATTTATGACTTGAAATCTGGTTCTAGCTACTGCTAGACAGTTCCTGTTCTAGACTTTCAAGGTACTGGCAGCCCACACAGCTCTCAACATCATAATTTGAGCACCACCTCTTTGCATTACTATTGCAATCCTCTTAAGTGGAGAGACAATCTAATATGGCAGCACCTATCACCATTGCAAAAATTCACATACAAAAATGAACAGTAGAATTCAACAGGGATGCTCCCATTTTCACTAAATTCTGCATCACAGGCGGGGCAAATAAAGGGGAACATTATCCACCAAAAATGCTGGACCAGCCTAGCATTTCCTTGCCAGAAGCTGCTGTATATTCAGACAGTTCTTGCCAGTTTTGCTGCAGAGAAAGCAGTTATATGCTGCACAGTCAAATTCCTCCAGCTTATTCCAGTACTGACTTTATCTTCTTCATTGAAAATGAGGTAAATCTGAAGCCCAGAGTTGAGCATCATTACACTTCAAAGATACTCAGTATTCAGACCTGATTTTCAGTTTTCCCCTCTGCCAGATCAAACTATCAAGGCAAACCTTGCAAATCCTAGTGTACTGAAAACCAAATTTTAATGCAATGGCTGGAGTCCAAACAGACTGAAACACATGTTCCAATATCAGTCTTACCCATAAAGTTCCTGCTTGGCATAACCTCCTTGATTTGGATGCTGGTGGCTCCCACAGGGATGATGAACATTTGATTGTACCCTGAAGAAAAATTAAGGGGATTACTCAATATTTATCTGTTAATAGTACACAGCCACATTTGTGCTTCAATGATTCTTCCAATTTCATTTGTATCTGAACAACTGGATGAGCTTTATGACGGTGGCTCAACACATTTCAGTTGTCACTTTATCTGTATTCTGAATAGCTTCACCAAAAACTCAAGATATCAATCTCAAGATATCAATCCACGGGCATACAGTTTCAATTACACCTCAGAAAAGTAAGCACATGGATTAGTGCAAAGTCATTTTTTTAATGTTCTAAAACTTAGGATTTCAGTAACTGGCAAATTGGGTCTTGACTAAGATTTGATCACAGCACAGTTGTCTTGAAATGACTAAAAATTGGCTAACGGCAGAAGATTCAGTTCCATTTATAGCCTTGCAGAAATTCTAGTATGGCTTTCAAGACACTGTGTATTGGGATAGTCTTATGAAAATGGTATAGAGCTATATTCACATGGTACATTTATAGCACCTGTTAGAGACTGAACAGGGAGAGACACCAGGAGAATTTCAAGTACATTTGACTCTTCTGAGACTGAGAAAATGATTCCCTGAGTAAGGCAATCAATACGTTTTGTGATGCTGAAGTGCCACATTAGTTTAGTTTTAACCTTCCCCTTATCACCTGCCTGAACTATACAGATCAACTGTACCTTTGGGGAGGTTGGGCACATCGAAAGTACCCTTCACATCATAGCAGGTGCTGTTATCTCCTCCACACTGTAGGCATTTGTCCTCCTTCTTGGTAGATTCTAGTATGTTATCACAGCCAACAGCCTGTCAGGGCACAGGGGCATCAATATGAATAAACCATAATGACAAGGGAAAGAAAGACAAAACGGTTAAATGATGGACTGTACTTATGAAAAAGCCTGAATCTAGGGAGTGTGGGAAATCAGAAGGTAGGAAAGCTGTTGTCAAGAGAAGGACAGAGCTGACCTCTTCCCTTTCACTTCCAGAGACAGGTAGATAAAAGCTGTTGATATCCTCCTCAGCATCTCAGAAACTGAATGAATCCACTTTTCAGATATTATTACAAAGGGCCAAGCAGAAGAAAGGGAATAACCTGAAAGACAAATAGACACAATGGCAGAGGAAGGAAGCAACAGGATGACTCACTTGACAAACTCCTTCTACACAGATATCCCGCTTGCCAGGTTCACAAGTAGTTCCATCTATCACAGTTTCCTTGTGTCTGTAGTAGAAGTTTTCTCCCTTCGGAATACAGTTTAACTCACACTTATTGGGTGCTGGTAGGAGAGAAAAAAAAAATACTGTGTACCATGGTTAATAGCTTGCTAATGCATCAGAGTCCTGGTTTTAGATTACAGAAGCAGAAAGAGGAGTGAACTGATATTAAGTGGCAGATATCGAGCAGATTTCTGTGTCACAAACTGCTGGATGATGGAAAAGTACCCTGGGAAAGCATCACTGTATGTATCCTTTTCCTCACACACTCTGATTGGCAAGTGCTAGAGAGGTCATGCTGGCCCATGGGATATTTGGTTGTTCCTTAGTAGAACTCTTCTTACGCCCCACAGAGTGAATACAAAGCTTTTTGGAAAAAGAATAAGTGTTGGTACAGAACACAAGAAAGCTGTTATTTTAACAGACAGCAAGTCACTGGAAATGAACAGAGTGAGGATATCTTGTTCCTAAATCTGCCTTCTGAAGCGGTTTCTCAAGAAAGTGTGGGCCACATGCAAATATCTCATGTTTTCTAAAGGACTTATTAGTTACATGCATTTATTTCTCATGCATTTATTTCTCATGCATCTTGCTAGTATTCTTTCACAAATACAGTAAAATACAGCAGAGCTGCGGCTTCTTTAATACTTTATGATCAACTGCAGCGAGTTCCAGCTTTCTTGAGCAATGTTCCTGAAAGAACAGCTGTTACAAGAGACAATTATGTACTGCTGCTGTGGTAGATGTCTCTTTGCCCATGTAGCATCTTCATGTCAGCAATGCTTTGCTGCTGACAAGAAGATAATATCCATGCCACAAACCCCCTTGCCACTCCAGTTAGGGAAATATCTACTGTAAGAATACATTCTATAACATAAAAACATATTGTTGATAGTCAGAGATGAAGAGTAACTCTACTTTACTAGACTTATTGTTACCTCCATAATATGGAAGCCACTTGTATTTCTTTCCTTGAAATTCTGTCCCATCAAACTCTGCACACTGCTCTGCCCGGAAATCTCTGGAACTTTCCGGACAGCTCTGTTTGGAGGAGAAAACATTTTCACCAGGCCATCAGGAAAAGGAGGAGAATTAAGTGTGCAGCTAAAAATTTCCCTTCTGTCTCACACATAAAATCTTAGGATAAATTATTGTCTGGGATCAATATTCTTTTGAAGAGATACCATTGATGAACAGCATTCATCAGTAATGCCAGAGAAAGAGAATCTAACAATAGCATATTACTTCTGAACATGAATGGGAAAAGGAGCAACAAGAAAGCAAAAAAAAACCAACAGAGTACAAACACTGTGCTCTACCTGAATATTGCATGAGCGATAGCTTCGAGTTGGTCCAATGCAACTGGAAGCACTTTCTGTCCTGAAACACCAAAAAAATCCCATTAAGCTGTCTGAACACAGGAAAAAAATCATCTCATGGTAGATATCCCCAATAACCTTCACATACAGCATATAGTATTTACACAGTCTCCTGAAGCAGCAAAATAATGAAAAAGCACTTCTTCTTTCTTACTAATGCAAGTTTGTATTTTCTAGTGCTATTTTCTGCTACAGACTGCAATCTGTCATGAATGAAACATGAAGCAAGAACAATTACAGGATAGCTCTTCAGCACTGTTTTCACTAAGTAATGGAAGTAGAACTTTTTGTCCTTTGTCCACTAGCATATAGCTGACATATCCTTACCAGACCCAGACACATATTCCAAAAAAGACAGCAGTGGCTAATTCAGAATAGGTATGCATATAACTTACTGTGCTATTTATATGCACTCTAAGCCCATCCCTAGGGAGAGCTAAAGATGCCCATGAAGAGTGTGCAACAATGGTTCCAGTCAAATGTTTTCAGCTGAGAATTATGGTGAATAACAGCCATGAAGTATATTGATCTGAAAAGTCAACAAAAATCTAACATCTCAGCACTTCTAAAATGGAGAGACAAGTCCCCAGAAATTCTAAGCAGGGAACAAGACATGAGTGTATACCATGACAGGCAGCCTTCAAAGATGATCCTCTTTAAATCAGGGTGAGGTGGTTTCTTTCCCCTCTGATGTTATTGAGGCTGAAGGTTATTATTATTATTATTATTATTTCCTTTTCTTGCTTTTTATACAACAGGATCTCTCAGGTTCATAATTCCCAACAAGTACACTTCTAGTCATTGTCATCACTAAACTAATCAGCTACAAATGAGATGGGACTGCTTTAACAGTGCTCAAGCCTACTCCACTCCTGCACCATTCACTGGAGCAATTTATCTTCCTGGAAATCATAAGCCCAAGAAAATCTTGGCATAGCCACTGGCTCCTGAGAGAGCAACCAAATGGTCTGACCTCTCCTCCAACTCCCCCAGGTCTCCCACACTAGACCTGATTGAATAGGTGCTGCCATACCAGTCACCTCATAGTACAGCCTCAGATCTCAAAGAGAGATCACTGTATTCAAGCAAAGGAGTCAAAGCAAAGACATGTTAAAGACAGTCTTTTTCAAAAGTGCAGTGATGAGATTAAAGCAAAGGATTGTGTCAAAGTGGACTCAGATGACTTTTCCCTACATTTAAAGAAAGAAAAATGAGGTTAGACCTTACCTTTGGAAGTAGCAGCGCCGTTGCCGAACACTGACTCCACCACCACAGCTCCGACTGCACTTGCCCCATTCACCCCAGCTTCCCCAAACACCAGTCTGCCGCCTCATCCTATGGCCCTGTAAATAACACAAAACACAAACATATCAAACAGACAGAAGGAAAACGACAAACAAACATACACAATGAAAATGAAGCAGAATGCCTATTTGTTCTCTTCCAAAATAGACTCTGTTGCTGCCTCACATTCCTACTATGAAACGTGGCAGAGAACAATACATCAGAAAAGCCAAGCCTCTAGTAACTAGAAGTAGTATATTCCTGAGGACATACAGCAGCTCCAACTTCATAATCTCAGTACTTTGGAATAATCATCTGAAAGATAACAACTCCCTCTCAGCAAGGCAGCAGAGGCAAACCATTAATTCAGGAGCTGTGAGTACTGTCACTCCAGACCAGATAAACACAACCTCTTTACTCCAAATCCTTAGCTCCAAGACAGATAGATAGTTAGAAGAAATGAAGGAAGCAGTAAGTAAACCCCTAGAACACAGATCTTAAGGCAGAAAAAAAAAAAAAGAATATCTGTATTTGGACATTTTTCACCTGCACAACATTTTACATGTTAAGGTACGGGCCATCACCAGCAGTAGCTTTAACTCATTCTGTTTTAGAATGTCATACTGAGTACTTATATTAAGAGAAATCAGCATGATAATGTGGATAAGATGTTATAATTGCAATAGAATTACACAAAATACATTGTTGTAGAAGCATACAAAATAAGTTTTCAGGAAGGAGGCCTGCTGCAGCTGACAGAATCTGCATACAGCAGAACACTGTCCCTGTTCACTGCAGGGGTGTTGGACTAGATGGCCTTCAGAGGTCCCTTCTAACTCCACTGATACTGTGATTCTATGATTTAGTGGGAAGAATAGCAACATCCTGAAAATAAAAATAATTGCAGAATGCAATGTTTGCGAAAAAAAACAACAGTGAATGAAGAGTTGCTCAGGGAGTGACACTGTAAAGATAGGAATTGCTGAGCAGCTACACCTGTTGGGCAGTTTACATACATATTACACAGCCGATAAGGTAATATATACCATTTAGGCATTTAGGTATTTGAGTTAATGAGGAGAAGAAAGGCAGAGGAAGACTCAAAAAGGAGTCAGAAATCGTATCTTTGCAACCTCCATTTCCTTTTCCCTCTCATCTTAATAGTCTGCAAATTCATTCAGCAACGTGCAAGGATCCATAGCAGCTCCTGCTTGCGGTTCATTATTCCAGAACACAAGACAGACTACAAGTCGTATGTCTGCTGTGGTAGAAGGATTATGAAGAAAGGTGAATATTCATACATTTTCTATTTACACCTCTTACTTCAAGCGAGAGCTCAGGTGATAATCTAGCGGCAGATCATTCATGCTGTAAAGACATCAGGAGTCTATTTAAATTGCGTGCAGTGAGACCGGCAATCTTCGGTAGGTCCAGGCTGCTCTTGCACAATAAGAAGCAGCTCCTTCTGAGAGCTGTGTATTGCAAGCAGGCATCACTTCATAATGTCATTATCTATCTGCAGTGCAGTTTCATTTCTTGCTAGTTGATGCAGGCTAATGCTAACTTGGCTAATTCAGACTAAGGCTGTAAGGCTATTATTTTGGTGTGTAATTACAATCCGTTATTGAAAACGAAAGGTTAAAAAAAAAAGAGACATAGCCAAATTTCCTTTCACCCACACTGTATATTCCAATATTCCAAATCTACATAACCTCTGGGTCTGGCTCCCAGCTTATCCTCGAGATTCACAGAGCTCCTTTTGTGACTAGATTACTTCACCTCACAGCTTCACTCTCCACATCTCCCTGCTTGTGTTCTGTTACCATCCCTTCCTGTTATCCCTCCTGCATTCTCATGTAAATTACTCCCTGATGATCAGGCAGCTCGTGTCGTTGTAAGAGTTTTCTACCGGAGTGGAGGCACATGCTAGAGATGTAGAATTTCACTATTGCAGGGGTATTACCCCACCCAATTCACACTTCGCACCCACCAGGGTTGCTTTCCAGGACCTACAGAGAAGGCAGGAGCTCCTCACTTCTTGAACGTATTTTTCATTTCAGTTAATCATTTTTACATAAGACATACAAATCTCTTCGAGAAATAGGAACTATCCTATAATTATAAATTATCCAATGAATTCAACTTGGGCAAGATGCACGAGTTAATCCTCCCTTGTCATGTAAACAGTTTTTGTAATTTTCTGCACATACTCCCTGCCTGATTGCAAGTTCTTGAGTTATAGTCTTGTTTTTCTTCCTCTTGGCCACTTTTAAGAAGTAATTCCCTGCTACAGACAGGGCAATACAGTCAGAGATATCTTGCTGTATTTATGCAGTTGCTACGACCATACCCACAACTATCATTGTCCAGAGTCACTCCATTTTCATCCTGCCTCTACTGCTTTAACATGGAGCTCATTTTTCTTGGCCTATGCTATTTGATTTTCTTCATGTAAGTATTTGTGCATTTCTTTCTAACACCTCAGCAAGCAAAATCCTTCAGGACAAGTTTTCTAGTTCAGACTAACTCTGTTTACCTTCACTGCTCACTCAATGACACTACCCAGGTTACAGCCACTTCCACATATTTTCTGTCTGCCAAGTCAATGTCACTCTGACCTCTTGCCAAACCTAGCTACCATTGTTCTGTTCCAAATATTCAGCTCAGTGTTTGCCTTTGGCATTCTCATTTGCCTTTCCGGGAGTAATCCCATCAATAGAGTTTTAGCTTTCAGAAAAGCGTTTTATTTTCCCAAGTGTTTCTTTCAGCACCTAATTCTGCCCCCTGTAATCCCTCCTCCCTTACTCCCAAAAGAATGAAACATGCTACCACTCTAATTCTCTGCAGTCTTATTCCTCTATATCAGCTGACTGATTTAGGAGCAGTATTAGCTCACCCTGGAAACAAGGAATCTTTCAGTCACCATAAGGGTGAAGAAAACATGTAGATAAAAATCCAAAAGAGGAGCATTTGAAAGTCAGATTACTGGAAGGCAATTAGGACAGAAAACCCTTCCCTGACACGCACACCAACATGATAAATATTCCAATATCCCTCCTACAGAAGTAGCATTCTTTATTCCTTCTACAGAGAGCAAAATCTGCAGGGACTCTTTGTTGTAAGCCTTATACATCTGCAGAGTGCAGAAACAATCATTTTCTCAGTATCACTCCGTTTATGTACACCCTAAAAGGAGTGTCAGATAGAAGAATCCTTCCAAAGCTGTACGGTGTTAGAAATCTTTTAATAGGAACCCAACTCCCAATATGTCCCAACTCCCAATATAGTCAATATGTGACTGTATGCATGCGTGCACAAATATAAAGCAACATAATAAATAAGGAAATTATTATTATATTCTGATAACAATATGTTTTAAGATGCTATCAGCTATTTTCTGTCCCCAAAGCCTCTTTATGCTCTGCACTGACTCCAGAATACTTTTATCTATTGTCAGCCAGAATCACTAAATGCCAGGCCCTGCTGGACCCTGGAACTAAAGGCCTAAAAACTTAATCATTGCTATTAATTCAATTGGCTACGTTCCTCCCCTGCTTGAGTTTAGCATGATTCAAGAATGTAGACCCTCTATCTGCAGAAAGTACATATTTTAATGTTTCAGAAAAAGCCAGAGAAAATATACAATTATCTCACTTCTGGAAACTCCAGAAAGGACCAACAGTTAATGCCTAGCTGCTCTGTCACATTCTGTTGCCTGTTAAAGCAGTGGAAATGTTTATCTTCAAGCAACATTGATGAAAACATGACCCTGGAACCACGTGCTCTCAGTGCTCATTGGTAAGCAAGCTGGGCTAGTCCAAAAGTTTAGAAGGTCAATGATTTCATTTTTATGGACAGTGCATTGCTTTCATCAATTCCTTGATAGAGGTGTTAGTGATGTAGTTGGATCACCTGCCAACTGATTTATCAAGTTTATCAGGCCAACTGATTCTGACAAACCAAGCAAATAGAAGAGCTATGTTTCTGAATCACTACAGCTGCAGTCTTTAAAGAGAATTTCAGTATGTATCAGACACACACAGTAAGATAACGCTGGAAAATGGCACTAGATAGTATAATATATATCATACAATACATATTTTTGCATATGAAACATGTACTGGCAAAGAAGCTATGAGTGGTACCTCAAAAAAGCCTGAAAAACGCTGGCAGTACATAGGAACAACTTAAAGAGGGCCCCTGAAACACTTATCAATCAGTTCGATGACATGGATAGGAAACTATGCACAGGCAGAGAGTGCATCCCAGATGTGCACTGTACGGATGCAATGATCTACAAAGTTCACATAATTTAATATGGATTATGAGTCAATATAAGTATTTTCCCCTAGTGCCTTGACATTAATTACTAATAATCTATGAAAGCAAACATACATTTGCTACACAGTCCAAAGAGAGCAGTGAAGATTTGCAATCACAGGTTCAAACAAACTAAATTCCAGTCAAAATCTTCCATTTAGTGTTCCCCTACTCATTGGGCACCTTTAATGGCCTACTCAACCTTAATTGTTCCACGACTCTTTGTGCTGCCTTTCCAAATAGGCAAGCAGCAATAAAATGCCACATTATACAACTCCAACAGTCATGATCAGTTTTGGACAAGACCACTGCTCAATTTTAGCTCAGCAGGTCACATATCTTTGTTTCACTGGGCTGCAATTGGAGGATCTTTCTGGATGCTGAAAAGTTGTTATTTTGACTTCTGAAACTGCATCATGCACTTGATTCCATTCAGACCCAGGAACATGTAAGTGCCAAAACTGAGACTGGTGGGAAATTTACACTGTAAGTTTACATTGGAAATTCTTTACATTGGAAGTACAAGACTCTGTACAATTGTTACCCACTGAATATAGATACAGCTGCCAATGATAACTTGAATAACGCAAAGTTGATTCCCCAGATGTAACTGTCATTTCATACAGCACTTCTGTGGTGTAAAACTACAATTAAAACCAGAGTGTTTCTCTTTAATCTTTCACAGTATTTCTCAAATAGATAACACTCTACTACTCTTGCTTGATAAACACTAACTTTCTGGGGTTTATATTTCTGAAATAAGGCTTATCTTAACACACTTTGAATTCTAGCCTTGCTGTTGGAACATCTATGAAAGAAAGGAAAAACCAAATGTTTTACAAAAGAAAGTTATCTCTGCAGCCATTTATTCCATAATGGTTTCATTGCCAAAGATTGGGCTAATAGAAGTCTTTGTGGAGCTTTACTAGGTTTGAATAATAATTGCTTAGAAAGAGTTAGCTTCTTACAGAAAGATTAATGAGGTAGACTAAAAAATAACCAAACAACAAAACAGAGCTGTCAAGGTGTCAGGAGGGGAGCTGGGGCCCAGTGGCAGGATCTCCCAGCGGCAGCAGAGCAAGGCTAGACTTTACAGCCCAGCTGTCTTTACAGCCAGCCCTGTCTTATGGGATGAAGCACTTCCCTGGGGCTGGGAGCAGGCCCTATTATGGCATTGCTGTGGGGCTGACGGGTCTGAGGGCTCAAATGGAGCAAGGTGGAAGGAAGCTGGTCAGGGCCAGCCTAGCAATGCCATCAAGGCTCTGGAAAACAACACACCTGGTAATGTATGCTAAAACCACATACTCTTCAGGATGTGAGCTATTTCCTTCTCCTTTCTACGTCCAGAAGACCTGTCCTGTACTACAATGATGACCACTTAAAATATTTCCACACAGCTACGCCCTGCAAGATGTGGCATTCAATGTTCACACCTAACTGTCAGGGGCTGAGAACGTTCAGTATATCTCAGACATTTATAATGTAGTTATATGCTATTATTCCAATAGATGCATTTTCAAGATAAATCCATCTGTAACCAGCTATGCTATTAGCCTAAAATGCAAGAAAAAATAGGCGAATGAACATGAACAAAGCATTTTTTGTAATTCCCTCTTAACCATTGATCTTGGCTCAGACACAGCAGGCTTGCAAAGAGCTTTGAAGGTAAAGAATGCCAAGTACCATTTTTATGAATAATGAATAAGCAATCAAAGAATTGCATTTGAACAAACCTAGGAAAAAAAAAGAATGAGAGAGAACAAGATGGTGACAGCAGGAAGTGAAACACAAAATGATACAGAAGAAGAGAGCAGCTTATTAAGAGAAACTGTTTCTCAAAGAGAAGAAAAAGCAAGGTTTTAACAGTTGAAAGGCTTGAGGTTTGAACTCACTGTGTCCATCTTCCATTGCCCTCTACCACCATAACCCTGGCTTGTTAGCATATCCTCTCCAACAAACCCACTAAAATCTATCTGTTCCCCTACAACTTCAGCCCCTCCAGATACTTTAGGTTCTTCTTTGAGTACTTAACGCACTCCCTTACAGTTCCCAAATCATTCCCATATTCCCTATGTTTACCACCCTCGGCACACCTCACTCTTTCTACCCCGTTATGGGCTCTAGCACAATATAGCTGTCTCCTTCCACATCCCCTGCTTTTCTGTCAGCTAGATAGAGCGTAGCACCTGCCTCACCTACCGCATAACCAGGTAGGTGCTGCCTCAGGACTAATTTAATGGCTAGTGGGCAGAGCAGGTAATAGCTACTTTTCAGAAATGGAAAGCCTTCCTGAGGCTCAGGGTGGCCTGGAGCTGACTAGAGTATAAGAGCAAGCTAAAAAGACACAGCCACTGCAGAGAAGTTAAATTAATTACTGAAATTCCTGAGGAAGAAACAAGAGACATTCAGAAAGCTCCACAAAGAAGAGGATTGTGAGAACATTTTACGAACACAGAGTTATTTTGGAAAAGTGGTCAAAACAAACAGAATGAAGTCACTAGAAATTGTTTATCCAAGTGACCTAACAGGAACTCAAGGCTGAAACAAATGATTACATACTGGCAGACAGCTTTTTCAGCTAAAACTGCTTCAGTATGTGATTATTGAGAAGTGGAAAATCTGACACCAATTTACAAATGGGTCCCAAGAGAACCCACAGAATTACACAGTCACATACTATAAAACTGGCATCTACTAAATAAATTAATAGAAACTGTAACAGAGAACAGAATTAGCAGATACCTGCATAAATATATTTGGGGAGGAGTCAACTAGGCTTTTTTAAAGACAAGCCCTTCTAAGGCCGTTGCAGTTCTTCAAGATATTTGTAAATATACAAAAAGGTTATCTGTCTGATATATTCAGATTTCCAAAAACCTTTGTACAAAATCCTTCACCTAAAGTTTTGAAGGAAGCTAAGTAGCCAGAAGGAAAATCCTTACATAGATAATAAACAGGTGACCAGAAGTCAAAAACAAATGTAGAAGTGAAATCTCCATTCACTGCAAAAATTGACATAAGCAGCACAATCCTGTAAGGAACCTGAACTGCTCAACACATTCACAAATTACACCATAAACATGGAAAAAACAAAGATGAATGATAAGCATAATAAAAGACAGAGAACTAGAGACAGACTGCAAAGAACTACAGAAAACCACTACAGGATGACTGACGGGTTACTAAAACAAAAATTGGGATTTCATGTACATAAATTAAGCGATGCAAAGGAAAAAAGATAAATCCTATCCTAACAAATACAGTGATGACATATGATTTAATCACTAAAGAGCAGAATCTTGGTTTTGACAGAAATGTTGTGCCATTAGAGGTTTAGATTGCTTCAAGGAGGCAATGAACAAGTTTGGGAAAGAGAAACAGAGATGACTCCAGTCTGAAGGGTTCATAAACCACATGTGACTGGACATGGAAGCATACTGAGAAATATTATGCATATTTACCACTCTTGTAATAGATTTTTCTAGACATCTGCTTATGATGTAGCTGGAATCAGAATATATGGCAAAACAAACCTTTGGTTCTACACAGTATGCTATGGAGAGTCACCATAGCAGAATGTCTCAGTGCTGTTGGATCTTCTTTTTATAGCTTGGACAGATCCAGCACATTACGGAAGCTGAAATAAAGCGGTGGCCAAAGCAAAACCTTTTTCCTTCATTCAGCATGCCTTCAAGAGGACCTACTGACTGCATACAGGGAACAGTCTAATGCTAAAGAGAAATGCCAGTATTTGTATTTGTATATAGGGTGTTTCAGACATTTCCCTTCCAAAACATCACCAGGCTGCAAATAGGCAGGTGAGCAGATGAACTGATTAATGCATATTCCACTTGTGGTTCTTTCGCCATAAAGCATAATCTTCTTCAAGATCTGAGATAGAAAGATCTTATTTAAGCTTATTTCCAACTCAAGATAAGAAGTCTATGACAGCTAAAAAACTCTGCTTGGTTTCTGGCATCTTGTCCCTTATCTTCAAAGGAGGCCTACAAAGCACTTGCAAATTCTGAATATAGGAATAGAATTTCATAATTGCTTGAGAGATTAAAAGTTATGGACTCATTAATTTTAGTGGCATATAATTCCTCACAACTCCCACCAAACACTTAACTCCAGGTGATAATTACTTCTTCCCATCCCCCCTCTTCTGTTCCTTTACATCTAATAAACATAACACTTCTTCCTTTGCTAAGACTTCCCATCTACTACTCAGCAGGTCACCCTTTACTTCAGATTGTCCAACTCATTAATACAGCTGAAGACAAATTCAGAAGCACTGCTCTCAAACTTCATTTACTTCAGAAAGGTCCCACTTTTCCCTCAGAAAAGAAGAGGAACCTGAGTTCCTAACAACTGTGCTCTATTTCTGACAATACTGAATTGCTTTAGTATAATTGTTACATCCCCCCTTAAAACCTAAACCATACAACTTCTCTCTTTCGTGTAGCCTTTCTGGTTTAAATCAGCTAACCAAAGATTCATTCGTCTTACTTCCACTGTCAGTTCTCTAAAGCTTTGAAGCAGGATATAGCAATTACTGCTTTGCAAATAACAATCCTCAAGCCAAAGGCACTGCCAGAATTTTCTCGTTTAATTGCCACATTACACTTTTCTAAAAGTACCACAGTAGGCCTGATGAGTTCAACCCATTAGTTCTTTTGGATAAACTTCCTACAAATATCTTTAATTTCTTGCAAAGGTATTCAGAAGAGTTTTTACTTACTAAAAATGCAGAAGGCAGCATCTCTGCTAGCAGGAACAGAAGGAGCAAGTTCTTCATCTGTGTCTGTGGGAACACAATGAGTATTGATCAGAATTGCTTGCTTCTTTGCTGCTTGTATGGTGACAAAGCTCAAATATCATACAGAAAAAAAAGTTATGTGGAACTAAAATCAAGATTAGAGAAGAAAAGCAGTTTTATCACTATGCTCCCTCGATAGATGAAGGCAACTGCAAAGACTGAAAATACCTTGCACAGAAAGCCAGAATGTAATTACTGAGCACAAGTATTTCCCTGAACTTTCCTCTGGTATTATGAGAACTCCATCCCCAGGCACAATGGAAGACGCATGCCGATGCTTGCCTGCCCTCCCTCCCTTTTACATATACACATGATAAAACACTAAGATTGTAACGACTTCAACCAACCCAAGGTAAGAAATTCTGCAGTTAACATTTCTGCGTCCTGTAGTCATCCTGTGTGGCTTGGTGAAGCTTCACATCTCTTGTGTGATCTTGCATGTTTAAAATCCTACAGTTTGTCATAAACAGCTATAACTTGGTTTAATCAACTGTAGTTGCAGCCCCTTTGCAGAGCTAGAAAGGAGACTAGGGCCACAGAAACTATGAAGGCAGCATACAACTGTTTCAAATTAAAAAAAAAGGAAAAATAAATAAAAAGATCAAGGTATTACGCTAATTTGGAACCTCAGCATTATACTGAGGCCTCTTGCTACTTTATCCTTCCTCCTTTGAGTTGCAGAAACCAAACCCACACCAACCACCATCCAGCACAGTTTACAGCTGTGAAAAATGGTACTTTGGTCACTAGATAGTTCTTACTCCTTATGGCCCCCTTCTCATGACTTGTTGACTCAGCCCAGAAAGAAGAGATACACTAGACACTCTAAAATCATAACATCGTACCAAAAACAAAATGAAACATGCTTGATAGAGCATTTGGGTCTTTCAAGTAACTTTATGATGGGCAACTATTTTTCTTGTAGTGCTATGCCTCACTGAATCCACTCTGCTCATTACAGCTCCATAAGTCCATGCATAACATGGATTTTTACGTTCCCAACATTCAGAGCGGTGAGTGGTGATGAAAAACTTGTTCTCTACTATTTTTCCTTTGGAGTACTGAAATTAAGCGCTGAAAACCCAGCTGGACCAAATTCTTTGTGCAAAATAGCAGGGAAATGCAAAAGAAACATAATGAGAAAATAAGCTTCTGCCACTATATTCTGAGTGCCAATCATACGATTCCTAAGCAAATGAAGCTTTTGGAGCTTTATATATGAATAGACTTTCATTCACTTTGGATTAGCCTTCTTAAGAAACTGAGAAAAGACTATGTAGCCTCTACTTCACATATGTGCTATTAATTCTCTTTCAATTAAAATCAAAGGAAAAAACCATCTAGAGCTGCCCACCATAACAGGTTAAATACTCCCAGTGCAGATAAGGCCAACAGCTAGATCTGTATCATAGCCCTATCCAACAGTGACATTTTCAGATATGTAGAACAGCCGTGAGAGACTTAGATATCATAGAATCATAAAATGGTTTTGGGTGGAAAGGACCTTAAAGATCACCTAGTTCCAATCCCCTGCTTTGGGCAGGGTTGCCAGCTACTAGATCAGGTTGCCCAGGGCCCCATCCAGCTCAGTCTTAAAAATTTGCTAGGGATGGGGTAAAATAACACTTTTGCTACAAGTTATGCACAGAAAATAGGAAAAGTCTTATGAAGCAGCTTATAACGTCCTTACACCACTGGCAAAGGGCACTGTAACAACAGCATTTTTTTTAAATGGTATTGATGTCAGAGATAGATATTTGAGACTCCTCAGCTTCTTTTCTTACTGTCCAGAGAAAAATCTCCTCCCCAGCATTTCTCTTTCATAATTTCCATTACAGGCACTTCTCAGGTTCACATGGACAGCTGTGGGAATCACATCCATTGCTACAGCAGCCTAGCACTGCTGCTAATGTACTGCCCACTCCTGAATCTGAACCTAGAGGTAGATAAGAAGCTGAGCCAAAACCACGATGTTCCTGGAAAGGAAGCTAGAGAAGCAGCTCAGCACAGCCGGCAGCGCTACCAATCCCCTAGTAGTTAGAGCATCTTGGAGGGTTTTAGTCAGACAGGGTAAAAACATTCTATGAGGAGACAACCAGAAACAGCATCAAACATATGGGACAATCCCTAGCAAAAAGCAACAGGTTATAGCTCTCATGCTCACTTGCGCCTTTGTGCAATTGCATGAGCATGGAAATTGCTTTCAGATGTCTAACATCTGGCCCAAATTTAGCATTAAAATGTTTAGGACATGCAGCCCTATTAAACTAGTCAACAGATTCCAGGAAAAATGGTCAGAAGGAGGAGTAGGGACTTTTTTAGCCCATTAAATGCACCACTGCAAGACAAATCTTGTGGCCGATTCTCTGAGCTTCAACAAACTTGTTATTTTGAAAGCTTCCTAAGGTGTTGTATTCACCACTGATCCTTTCAGCCTTAATTCCAACTGGAAATTACACAGATGGGACCCGTGAATCTGTCTGAAACCTTCAAGAAAAAATGGTCAAGTTATGCAGTTATGCTTCTGGATTTAATGGCTCTTTCAGTCCTTACAGGACCTGGGATATGGCAACATATGTTATTCTGTTTGTTTTGCCATTCTTCTCACCGAAGCCTGAGTGTGCGGGGGAAGGAAAGAAAAGGACAGTGTTTCACAGTGCTTTCACTTGTGACAACAGCAGCTGCTGCGCTCTGTGCCTCCTGCCCTCCTTTAATTCTTTTCAACTCTCCCCACCTACATTTTCCCACTGTTAAAACAGCATCTCCACCCCCCTTTCATTCAGAAATAGTAGCAGGGCCTGAGGGGAAATCGTGACTATACACCCTAGATACGGAACATCTGCTGGAAAACTAACAAGTAAGAATTCCTACCACAGTGCTAAAATCTGAAGTTACATCAGTAAGAAGGAGTACGAGAATCAACTCACAATAAGCGAGAGGCTACCAGGATCTACAACCAGAAGTAGAGACAGGCCCAACTGAAATCTCTGTTCAATACAGCAGAAGAAATTCAAGTTTTCTAGCCAACTGCATCTGCTACTAACTGCTCAGGTTATATGAGTAAAAGGCATAGCTGAACTATGAAGCTCTTTTCTCCAACAGGGGCCAACCCAAACCTGATTAACACTAGAGAAGTTTAATCTTGGAATTAAATTTAGCAACTAAGGACATTTACTTCTGTTCCAAAACAATAAGGATCAAATAGTATTTTGTGGAAACTTGAGAAACTTCTTTTTGACAATACCCACAAAGCATATTCTGGTCCCCTTTCTGAACTGCATTCATTGTCCTGACTTCTGTCTGGCACTGCGGACAGGAGGTGCAGAGTGTCACAGAGGTGATGGCTATCATTTCTAAGCCAGGACATAACTCATCTTTCAACACTTATGCTCCCAAGGAAACATGAACTACATTGCCTGTGTATATACAGAAAAATTACTTTCAAACTGCCAATTGATTTCAAGGTTTCAAAAGTAGAAAAGCTAACTTTCTTTGAAAGGAAAAAGTATACAGGGCAGAGATGAAGAGATAGTATATTTTAAACTCATGTAACTCATCTGTAACTTTGGATAAGCATCCTTATTTCAGGGCTTAACACTGAATCTACTCAAATAAGCTTTTGCTTTAACAAATAAAATGTCTAGAAAAGACAGACAGACAGTCTTGGAGATTTCTTTATAGCAAAGCCAACAGTAAACTGGTTTTAAAATATTTTATTTAGTTACAAGGGCCACGAAGGCTTAACAAGATCAGTGAATCATGCCTTAGAACCAGGAATACGCTTTGACACAAACTGAAGAGAATCAAGGATAACTGTAATGACTTCTGTGTTTTCTTTATGTGTATAAATCCTCCTAGTGCACAAAAAAATGCTCATGATCACCTACATAAACTTGACCTCTTTTCCAAATCACTTCTCAATATCCATGCTCCTCGGGAAACAAGAACTACATTGCAGAGATACATACTTGTGTGCATAAAAGTAACTTTGAAACTAATTTCAAGGTTTCAAAAACATTAAGTTAACTTCTGTGGGAGAGAAAATGACTTCTTTTCAACAGGAGGGAATCTAAATTTGAAAGAGATGTCATGAGTAACTCAGCCTTGTTTAAACAATAGCTTAAACTGTTCAGATGCCACAGAATCAAGTCAAGAAATCAGAAGAAAATGAGTACTGTTAGTTGCAGTGCTTCTAGTGGTACGTGGCTCTCTCTGTTTAGCAAATAAGACAGTCCAATCTTCTTTTGCCTGCAAATCATGTTTCTAAATCATGCCTTGGGCAAAGGCATATACCACATTTGCTGGTCAGAGACTGTTCTGAAAGGCAGGAGATAAATGTCTCCTTCAGGGTGGGCTCCTCTCTGTTGCCAGACAAGATACAGCCAGGCTGGGCTTGCAGTTAATTTCCAAAGCTACCTAGCAGTACTAGCCTAACCAGCCACTTACAGCTAATTTCTCGTCCCAGTCATTGATTTGGATTTTCAGTGTGGATCTATTGTTTTCATCTGCCTTTCCACAGCTTGAGCCACAGGTTAGCAACTGCAGTAACTATTTGCTCACTGCAATACTGATCAGAATTGCTCATTGTAAAGTTTAGCACATCTGACATTAAAGCAGAAGTTGTCAGTGTGATTTTACTGCTTGCACACTTTCAGCATTTCCTCCCCACTTGTACCACTACCATTCCCCACTCCCACATCTTCATACATCACATCTTCCTCAATTATTAAATAAATATAAATAAAATATCAAGCCTAATAAAGGAGGTGGGGAATCAGAAAGACTATTACATTGTCCAGTTTTCCAGTGGCATCAGTTTTCTTAGCCATTCATTGAAGTCTCTAAGTTTTTAAGCCATTGCATTTTTCTGAAGACACCACGAATTTTTGCTTTGATTTCTCATGTTTCATCTTTCTTTGTTTTGTTACCATATCTTTCAGGTTTTTGGTGAGTTAAAAATGGAAAATACAGATGTGGTAAGAAGG